TGCTGAAGGGAATGCTGCTGTCCGGTGTGTTTTATAAAAGAGCTTTGGGCCTTAAAGTTATTTTTTAAGGAAGACCACGCCCTACCCCATATAGATTTGACCTCCCTCAGCCCTCGAAGATGGGCTTCCTCCCACTGGCATGTAAAGTGCCCTTCCTGGAGCTACTGGCAGCGTGGCCCGACGCGGAGCCCTTCGGGCTTTGTCGGGGTAGAGGACGGCCTCACCCCTGACCTTTGGAAAACAGTCGCGTGTACAGCTCTGATATGAATAAAAATTTGATGACATTGGTCCGAGTTTATCAAATCCTTTAAAGGCCTCAAGGTCGGCATACCCGTAGCCAGTGTCCTCAGGGCCCAAGGTTGATTACAGAAAGGTGTGTGCGATCCGGCACAGAGGAAGGTCCGCCGTTTTCAAACCGATTTCTGGCCTGTTTCCAGGAGACCTTCCAGAGAAAGACTTGGGGTGCAGCGTGGCCTGGCCTGACATTAGGGGTCCTGCTAGGCTTCCCCTCCCTTTCAACCTGCTAGCCCAGTATTCTTTTATGTAATAGGCCCTGGGATAACATTCTCCTTAAGGGGCCTTTCCCTACCTGCTGCTATTATTATTATTATTATTATTATTATTATTATTATTATTATATTAAAAAGCTACTGAGCTAATCCAACCCCATCTTTTGCAGCCCAGGCCACTGAGGTGCAGAAAGGCGAATCGACTTCCCAAGGTCACATATTGTTTTGCTAAAAGCAATTCCTTGTATTTGTCCTGTGAGAGCCCGGGTGCAGGGCCAGCTGCCCAGTCTGCTCAGGTTCGCCCCCTGCTGCCTGGGTGGGCCCGACCTGCCCCGCCGCTGGCCTGGCCACATCCTCCCCGAGCAGGACTCACAAACCCAGGTCGGGTGTCTGCGATGGGGGTGCAGAGCCAAGCCAAGAGCCCTGGATCCGCGCCTTCTTCCTCTTCCCGGGAGCGGCCAGCCCGCCTGGTTTCCCCTCCTCCCCACTTATTTCTGCATCGAAGGAGCCTTGCGGGGAACACGGGCTGCGCCGTTAACCGGCAAAATAGAGCAGCTCTCCTCCTTCCCGAAGGCCCTAACCAGCAGCCCCACCGGAGGAGACGGCGGCAGAGGAAATTGGAACCTAAAAAAGGGGGGGGGGGTGTTTTGTTTTTTTTACCCATGGAAACACTTTTTGTTTTCTTAGCTTTCCGGAAAATAAAGCAATAAGCAAAACACGCAAATATGAATGTCAGTGACGTTTTCCAGTTAGTGATAATGGACATGGGGTCCTTTCCATCTTATCCTCCCTCTTTACTAGAAACTTCTGCGTTTGGCTTCGTGGCCCAGGGGCACGTGGGGAGGTACCTGATTTCTGAAAGAAGCTCTCCACCCACCTAAATATTCGATGCCTTTATGATTTTTTAAAAAGATTTTATTTATTTATCCATGAGAGACACAGAGGGAGGCAGAGACCCAGGCAGAGGGAGAAGCAGGCTCCCTGCGGGGAGCCCGATGTGGGACTCGATCCCTGGACTCCGGGGTCACGCACTGAGCCGAAGGCAGACGCTCCACCACTGAGCCCCCGCAGGTGCCCCCTGCCTTTATGATCTTTTGTCTAAAAACTTAGCTGCTGATCCCTGCCCCCTGGGTCCGTGGCCCAGAGACCGTGGCCCAGGCTGGCCCGTCGGGCCCCGTGAGGGGCTGGTCCTTCAGAAACAAAGAAGCAGGGGCCTGGGACCTGGTCTCCACCTCCCAGCTTTGAGTCTCCCCCCTGCCCCTGGCTTCCTCTCCCATTTCTGTGTCCGCTCCCCTGCTTCCGCTCCCCCTCATCGTTCCCAGGGGGACCAGCACAGACACTGGCGTTCTCATTATTCCCAAAGCTGTGCTGAAGTCCGTCGCCGTGGACTCTTGTTCTGCGTAGACAAGCACCTGGCTTCTGCTTAGGCACATCTAGTTCCCAAGGATCTGGAGGCCGGTGCTGGCTCTCCTGCTGCTTAGTTACGTATTCAGAGATGTCCTCTAGAAACTCCTTTGGGTGTCCTATATAGGCGCTGGTATTTTTAGTTTCCCTTTTGCTGCTTCTGTTCCTAAGAAGATTTAGAGAATTTCTAGCTCTCCTCGGAAAAAGAGAATTCCTAAGAGATGGTGAAAGGCAGGTCTACAGATTCGCGCGAGTAGTCGGTCACCCTGGGAGGTTTTGCTGCCAGCCCCACGGCCTTGCCGTTATTTAGTAGGACTGAGGTATTGAACTTGGTGTCCAGGACATCTCTAGGGTAGGGAAATGGTTGTGGCAGAGTGTGCATAATGTCCTGTGACATTGGGTGTCATGAGGGGCACCTGGGTGGTTGAGCATCTGCCTTCGGCTCAGGGCGTGACCCCATATCCCAGGATCGAGTCCCCCGTCGAGCTCCCTGCAGGGAGCCTGCTTCTCCCGCTGCTTGTGTCTCTGCCTCTCTCTCCGGGTCTCTCATGAATAAATAAAATTTAAAAAAATACCTCTAGGTATCATGAAATGACACAAGGGAGGAGTGTGATTCCCTTTTCACAGTTTGGGAAATTTCTCCCCGTAAGGCTTCAAGGCGGGACAAGTTATGGGGTGATTGGCTGTACGGCGGCCGCAGGCTAAGATACTGTTTATGTACAAAAGGGCTTGTGACAGGCTTTGCCTCGAGGACAGGCCTGTCGGATGTGCATTATGAAACAGAAGCCGAGATCAGCCCTCCTATCAGAGCGAGAGAGGAGTTTGTCATTTATGTGTCACAGTTTGATTTTATTGGTCCTCGTTCTGCAGTTCCAGCCATAATATCTTGGCAGAGAGGCAAGACCATATACTTCTTCCTTATTTAATTCATTCATTTTGGGGACCATTGCCTCTCCTACCTGGGACGGCTCTATCGCCACCCTAACTTGCGTTCACTTAGACTTCGCATTCATGCCCGAAGAGACGTGAGTTTCTAGCTTATCGCCGCGCCACGCACTCCTTGGCTTGGGGCTGAATCCTTGAACTTCCCGTGACTGGAGCAGAGAGCAGTGTCACCTTCCCCCTAGCCACAGGACCCTGGAGGGGACGCAGAGATGCTGGAATAGAACCGGGAACCTCTTAGGAGAGAGGAACGCGTACTTGGCAGGCAGCCAATGCTGTCAAGTACAGTTAATTTCTTCCAATTTTCAAGGTCATTTTTTTTTGGTATTCCTTAAATATAAAATTAATTTTGGCTTTTTCCCAAGGCCTCCAGCACAGTATTGGTCCTTTAAGCCTTCATTCCCCCAAACGGTCCTCTTTGCCCCCCAAGAGTCTCCTTGAAGCCAGGGACCACGCGTGGCTCATCTTGGCGCTCCACTCAGGTTCTGGGTCGTGTTAGGCACAGAAGGAATATTTGCAGAATAAATGCATGCAACGTGGTGCCAGGATTCGAGGACCCCAGATGCTGCGTGAAACAACCAGGAGCCAATATACAGACCTCGGAGAGTCCTTTTCCACGATTACCCCTGTAATAGGGCTGCCTCTTCTTCCCATTTTCATTGCCAGCATTTTGCTTTGAAGTTATTTTTTATATAGTTTATGACCACCATTAGTAGCATATGAACTTTTTTTTTTTAAGATCTTATTTATTTATTCATGAGAGACACAGAGAGGCAGAGACACAGGCAGAGGGAGAAGCAGGCTCCCTGTGGGACTCGATCCCAGGACCCCAGGATCACGCCCTGGCCCAAAGGCAGACGCTCAATCACTGAGCCACCCGGTGTGTGTGTGGGGGGGCAAGGACTCTATTTTTTAGATTTATTTCACAGGGTGACAATGTTTGTGTTACCTCGTTCCTAATCTACCCTAATTTCAGGACGTTTGTTGTATTTTAATATTTTTTTTAATTTTTTTTTATTTACAATAGTCATAGAGAGAGGGAGATGCAGAGACACAGGCAGAGGGAGGAGCAGGCTCCATGCATCGGGAGCCCAACGTGGGATTCGATCCCGGGTCTCCAGGATCGCGCCCTGGGCCAAAGGCAGGCGCCAAACCGCTGCGCCACCCAGGGATCCCCGTTTGTTGTATTTTAAAATAGATTGCTTATTTCTGTCTTTACCCCGTTAAGTCTTTTTTTCCCCCTGCCTACTGCTAGGATAAGAGAGAAGGAAGGGATGGTTGAAAATAGGATTACGTCTCAGCAGATCCTGCATGTGCTTCTTGTGTTGCTTACACCATCCCGGGACTGGGTTCACTCGACCCAGTCCAAATAACGATATTCATGGGCAGGTGATTTTTCCAAAGTCCCTACTGGTTATCCACGGCTGCTGTAAGTAGTGACCACCTGTTTAGGGGCTGCAAACGCCACCAATGTATTCCCTGTCGGCTCTGGGGGTCAGGATTCCAAAACAGCTCTTATTCGGACAAAACGAGGCATCATCAGGGCAACGTTGCTTTGTGAGGCTTGGGGGGGAATCTGTCCCCTTTCCTTCTTCCAGCTTCCAGAGGCGCCCTTCATCCACCAACCTGTGGCCCCTCACCCCATCGTCTCCTTGACTTACTTGCCTCCTCCTCCTCCTCCTCTCTGGTGATGAGCCTGGGGACCACGCTGGCCAGGTGATCTCTGCATCTCCACATCATTAATGACACCGCAGAGTCCTTTCTGCCTCGGGAGGTGGCACATTCACTGATCCCTTAGGATGTGGGAGATCTCTGGGGACACTATTCCACCTGCCATAATCCTAGACCCCAGAGCGTCTTAACAGAACTTTTATGTACAAAGGGAAGAAAAGGCTTCGGCTTTTTTGGTGCCTTCTCCTGATACCCTGTCTTGGATGTTATGTCATGTTCCAAAGGACTAACCGCTTCTGTGTTTCGTGGGCAACTCGGGGTTGGCGGATGGTCAACAGTGGTGGCCGGGGTGATGGCAGTGATGCTGTCGTTACATGACGGAAGCGCCCTGGCAGTCGAGAGCGAGGGAGTTCTAGAGAGAAGCATTTAAAACTTGTCGGAGGAACTCAGAGTCTTCTAACTTTTGTCTTTCAGCCTTATGTACAGAAGTATGTTGTGAAGAATTATTTCTACTATTACCTATTCCGATTTTCCGCCGCTCTGGGTCAAGAAGTGTTCTACATCACCTTCCTTCCGTTCACTCACTGGAATATTGACCCTTTTTTATCCAGAAGACTGATCATCGTATGGGTTGTAAGTATGCTCATTACTCAGCAACCGCTGCCGCCCCTGCAACAACTACCTGCTTTGGCATTCGAGTACGATGCACATCTGCTTTTGTTTTTTAATCACTTAGAGTTGAGTTTTTATATGGTTATTTTGGAAAAAAATAATAGGAAAAATTCAAAAGTGACAAACACAACTTGCTTGCAGAAATGAACAAACCTGTGATTCATGTGCATTGGCACACCCCTCTGTTTGGGTGAAGAGAGATGAGAGGAGAGAGATGATGTGACTGACATGCAGAGGAGAAAGAAAGGATTTCTGAGAAGCCAGGGAGGGGCATAAAATGCGTTCTCCCAAGAGGCCGATTTTAATATAGTTTGACCAAAAATTGAAACTAGAAGCTGTAGACTAATAATTCCCAGTGGTCTTGGAAGGCCATGTAGTGGGGCACCTGGGGGGCTCCGTCAGTTAAGCGTCTGCCTTCAGCTCGGGTCACGATCCCGGGGCCCTGGGTAAGCCCCACATCAGCTCCCGGCTCAGCGGGGAGTCTGCTTCTCTCTCTGCCCCTCTCCCTGCTCCTGCTCGCACGTGTATGCTCAGTCTCTCTCTTTCTCTCTCTGAAATAAGTAAATCTTAAAAAAAAAAAAAGACCACCCTGTGCACAGAACGAGGGGCCTGGCATGTGGGGGGGGGGCTCCACAAGTCGTTGCTTGAACAGGGTAATGCTTAGTCTGCGAAGGTGAAGGTGGTTTAATGAGCAACAGCTTCCTCCTCGAAGGTCAGACTGTTTGAGTGGGCGGGGGAGCCCCAGGGCAAGGCCGCAGGCCCGGCTGTCTCCCCAACTCCTGGTTCTGTCCCGAGGCCCAGAAGCCCCCGGCCGTGCGAAAGGAGCCTGGGCTCCCGCCAGCTCTGCCCTGAGAAGCTGTGTGATCCTAAGCAGATGACTCCACCGCTCTGGGCTTTGTTTTCTCAGTTGTGGTCCAAGTTAGAGCCGCCTCAGCCAGAAGCCATCACGTCACATGTGCTTTAAGGCAGGGGAAGGCAAGTCAGAGAAGTCTGGCTGGGGACGGGAGGTGTCAGTGGGCGTCCCAGTGTGGCCAGTGGGCGCACTGGGGAGCAGCGGCCCCTCCGCGCCACCTGTGACTGCTGTGAAGCAAGACAGGCTAGGGTTGCCAGATTTGGTTTTTTTATGGGAAGCCTCCCATTTTTTCTTTTCTTTCTTTTCTTTCTTTCTTTCTTTCTTTCTTTCTTTCTTTCTTTCTTTCTTTCTTTCTTTTTTTTTAATGTAGGCTTACATCTTTAAAACATTAAAAGTCAGCTGAACAAAGACTCCTTGAAGTGCACATGTATGAGGCTTGGTTTGAAGCTCCAGCCTAAAGCTTCCACCACTAAGGTCTCTGGGGCTTACGGTTGGGATTCTTTGGTCCCCAATTCTTTTGACTTTTTTCTCTTTTTCCCTCCAAAGCCACAGCCATGGGTTGCTTTCCCCAGCTCCCCTGCTCTGAATTCTAGCTCCTGGATGACAGTATGACCTGAGACTGTGGAAGCTTATGCTTCTTGCCAAAGGCCAGTGTGTGTGATGGTGCAGGCTCCTCTGAAGTCTGACGCACACCCGGGGAGCAGGGCCCCCCCTGGAGCTGCGGGGGGGTGGGGGGTGGGGAAGCACACGGCCGCCAGCATCTTGAAATGCACCCAAGGTCCCCGTGCTTGAGCTTGCTCCCTGTCGTTTACTTGCTAACACACTGTGTGTGCGTGGGGACGCGTGAACACACAGCACTTTTCCAAGCCTGGTGGTGGCCGAGTGGCGCACACAATGTGACCCACGATGTGACCCACGTTTATCACTGCTGACGAGTGCTGGCAGCTGTGGCTGGCTGCTGCCAGGCCAGGAGGAACCGTCCCCTGAGGGGGTTACTGACCTCCCCATAATCTCGGGAGGTTCTGTTTCACTGCGGCGTCCTTGAAGGTGCTCAAAGGATTTCCCCCAGCAGCCTGTGGTCAGAGAGCGAACAAATTGAATCCTTGCCCCAGAAAGGAGAAGCTCAACCTTCCAGGGGCAGGTTGTCCTGCGCTTTGGTGACCTGTTGCTTGCTTTCAAAAGTGGGGGTATGGTCAGGTCCATCCGCCCCCAGCTCAGGGTTTCATATCCCATGTGGTCGCTGGGATCCCCGAGGTGGTGGATTCCTCGGGAGCCCTCCTGGGAGCAGGGGAGACATATAGGGACTGGGAGGGGGAAGGACGGGGTAGGGGGGAGAGGGGGAGACATGGGGAGGAGGGGAGAGGGGGGAGGGGGAGAGGGGGGAGGGGGGTAGAGGGAGAGGGAGGGGAGGATGGGGGAGGGGAGGGACGGGGAGGGGGGGAGAGATAGGGGAGAGGGAGGGGAGGGGGGCGGGGGGAGAGATGGGGTGAGGGGAGAGAAGGGGAGGGGGAGAGGCGGGCGGGAGGAGGGGAAACAGGGAGAGACGTGGTAGGGGAAGGAGAGAGGTGGGGGGGAGAGGGAGGAGGGAGGAGCCCTGTGCTGTGCATAGGTTGTAAGGAGACATGCCTGACTGCTCGGCTCGGTGGGGACAGGGGGAAGGGGGGTAAGAGGGGGGTTGGGGGGCGTCGGGGCGGTCCTCCCTCTCCTGTGAGCAGAGCTGCAGCCCTGCGGATTCCCCGGGCTAACCCGCGGGCCGACCTCCAGGCCGACCCCCAGGCCCACCCGCAGGCCCACCCCCCCAGGCCGACCTGGGTGAGCCCCTCCCCGCCCCCCTTGCCGGGTTGCAGGTGCCTCCACCGCCGCCTTGCGTGGAATCCCACCGCGCGTCATTGCACCAAAGATGCTCGCGGTCGTGGGGCGACCGATGCGTGTGCACTGAGCGGCCTAGGCGGGGTCACGGCCCTAGCTGCCCCCCCCCCCACGGCCTGGCTTCTATTGCTTTCATCGGCGCCTGTGTTCACGCCCTCACTTGGCTTCCTCGCCCTGGGGAGTATGTGTTCCCATTTTGTAGACCGGGATGGTGATGCTTCAAATAAGAACAGCCGCGTCCTGGGTGGAGGCACGTGGCCCCCGCCGGAGGCCCCTTTGCCTATTTCCACCCCCTGTGACCCTGCCCAGGCCCCAGACAGGCGCTGATTGCCAGCCCACTCCGGGGTGGGGAGCTGAGGTCTAGAGGGATTAAAGAACTCACCCAGGATCACGTTGGGCTAAGGGGGTCTCATCCCGGCTCCCAGGGCTCCCTGCGCTGGAGGCGGCCACTGCTGTCCTTTCTTAGAGCTAAGTGACATGAAAAGCATCCTCCTTTACCAATTTAAGATTTTATTTATTTGACAGAGGGAGAGCGAGAGCACAAGTAGGCAGAGTGGCAGGTGGAGGGAGAAGGGGAAGCAGGCTCCATCCCAGGGCCCCAGATCATGACCTGAGCCCAAGGCAGAGCCACCTAGGGGCCCCCCTTTTTTAAAATTTTCTTAAGAGCTGTTAAAACCGACGCTTTACGCATTAAAATGACTGGCCCAAAGTTATGTCTAAAAAAAAAACTTTTTTTTTAAGATCTTATTTTTAAGTGATCTCTACCCACAACATGGGACTTGAACTTAAAACCCCAAGACTGAGAGTCTCACGTTCTCCCAGCTGAGGCAGCCAGGTGCCCCCCCACCCCGAGTTACCTTGTTCCGCACATTTGCTGTGATTGTGTTTCAGGTTTGCCCATATGACATTTGTGAACTCCGAATTCTACTTAAGTGCCGTTTATAGAACTTTCTTGCCAAGTCAAAGGTACTTTATCCCTGGAAACTTAGACCAGCGAGCCTTTTCAAAGAGCTCAAAGATCTCGCTCAGTCATCGTTTCCCTCTTCTGTCACTTATCAAGGGGTGTAACCTGGCACGGGACTTGGCCAGTGGACTTCATTGAGCAGAGAAGGCTATTCCACCTAGATTCTCATGAAAACATACAGTAGGTCATGTTATAGGAAGAGTCGCCGTCCAGAGTGGCTGTCCCCTCTCTTGGCTTCCATTCTGGTGCACTGGCAGCCCCACCAAAAAAAATACATAAGCTATAAAAATAGTATTGCTGTGTCTCAAAAAGCTGAGAGGCCATTACATGGAAACTGCATGGTGGTCGGCTTGGTAACATGAGGCAACAATCTCACTTTTTCCTAAATCGAGCCGTTCTCCTTTTAGTAAATAGCAATGCAAGTGTTGATACTCCGCTTGATCCTTGGGAAGCTCCGTTTTGTCTGTTCTTATGACATTTTACTTATTTATGTGCCACCTCTTTTAAGTTATCTCCTGGCATTCAGAATGAGATGCAAGGGGAAAAAAAATGGGAGAAGCAAAATTAGGGGAAGTACGGATAAATTAGGAGATAAAGGCCTGGAGTGAAATGTTGCCTGCTGATTCAAAGTAGAGCCACAAATTTGTCTTTGACTTAGTCCTGCCCAAACCAAAATGAGATTAAGTTACAACCAGGGGATCCCTGGGTGGCGCAGTGGTTTGGCGCCTGCCTTTGGCCCAGGGCGCGATCCTGGAGACCTGGGATCGAATCCCACATCGGGCTCCCGGTGCATGGAGCCTGCTTCTCCCTCTGCCTGTGTCTCTGCCTCTCTCTCTCTCTCTGTGACTATCATAAATAAATAAAGAAATTTAAAAAAAAAGTTACAACCATAGGAAACAATTGGCTTGTTCCTAAGGGAGCAGAACTTTTCCTGACACGCAGAGTTCATAGAATCATTGAGCTTAGTGACATCTGCTGCTAAATTATTTTCCCAGAAACAGTTTGGTATCAGTACCCCCACCACCAGTGGGAGTACCCATTTTGACTTTTCCTTGTAAACTTTGTGCATCCTCATTTTTCTTTTAACTCACCGCTGATTTCCCCAATGGAAAAGTAGTGTCTCAGCTAATTTTCATTTCATAAAGTCTTAGTGAAGATGAAAGCATTTTTCAGAGTTCGATTAGCCATTGGTATGATCTCTTCTGTGAAGTCTGCCTTTTGAGTGTTTTTTAAAGGGGGCTTTAGTTTTTTAATTGGTTTTTTTCACCAGTTATG